AAAAAAAAAAAAACTAACAAACAACTAACAAACAAACTAAACAATGTAGTGCATTTCGACTTTTCGAATTTTTTGACATGGTTTTTATTATGGGAGAAATTATCTTCATCTCGAATAAAAACATATTTTTCCCCCGATCTTATTTCTACGTTTCAGTTTCATTCAAATTGTTCTCCCTGTGACTTCCGCATCGGAATCTCCGCTTTTAGGCAGTGCCTAAATATATACATATTATCATATGACCCGTATCTGCCCGGACGCGCGCTCTTAGTAAAACCTTCGGGAAAATGTCGTGAGCAGGGCCGTAAGGGGTCGTACAGATCCCTACGGCCATGCTCAAAATCTGCGACCGTTTTGATATAATTTGCAACTTTTAAAATATCTTTTTTACTTAGGGTCATATGATAATATCTTATTGACTGAGTTAGGTCGGGCCGTACGGGAAATTATCATATGACCCGTACGGCCCTGCTCGCGCGCTCTAATAAAACCATTGGAAAAAGTCACGTGATGGGGGCCGGACGGGTTGACGTAAGCGGGCCGGAAAAACCCGTCCGGCCCTGCTGTAATCCGCGCGCTCTCTTTTTTTTAATTATTTTATTTTCGTGAGGGTCATATGATAAAATGCTTATTGACTGAGTTTGGTCGGGCCGTACGGGAAAATATTTGGCTCTCGGTCATTTGTACGGACCTCGCTGCGCTCGGTCCGTACGGCATCACCTCGAGCCAAATATTTTCCCGTACGGCCCTCCCACTCAGTCAATAAGTACATAATATTTGGCTCTCGGTCATTTGTACGGGCCTCGCTGCGCGCGGTCCGTACGACATCACCTCGAGCCAAATATTTTTCCATACGGGCCGACCTAACTCAGTCAATAAGTACGTATTAAATATCTTTATATTTCCTGATTTTGACTTGAATATTCACATAAACAAGAACTCACACACAATCGATATTGCTATCCTCATTTGAAATCGAAAAACATGAAAAGAAAAAAGAATAAAAAAAGAGATGGGTTTGCAATAAATACATCTTGATTTTGACTTAAATATCACATAAACCAGAACGCAAGCATGAAGTAGAAAGTAAATTACTAAATAAATGGTTTAAACAAATATAATATAAACAAATATTTCAAATGGCTTAGTGAAATAATAAAACATTTTAAGCCATTTGAAATATTTTTTAATTTTAAACCATTCGAAACAGTTTTATATTTAAAACCATTTTAAATACTTCCAACCACTGAGGGCTATTATACTTTTGTTTTAATCACTTTTTACCAGCTAGAATGAATTCTCTCATCAAAGGAATATGGCTTACATGTACAGCCGCAGCGTTACTTCTCGAGATGAATGTTGCATGGAGTCAAGGAGATGCAGGGTGGTATAATATTCCAAATCCACTCATAGAAAATGTCCACTTTAAAAACCAGTCTTCGGCTATCTGCGGGGGTATGTTGCTTAACAGCGTTTTTCATAATTCTGCGACCTACCCACTTCCGCTTTTGGCATTGCAGAGCATTTTAGGGCCGCTTTAGCGGACAAAATATTAGTTTTGCAGCAACACGGGACCACACCCATATTACAGCTTGGGCTACCTGTGGTTTAGATGGAAGAACTAGAATAAAATCCCTTTGCTTTTGAGAATTAAATTTTTTCTTGTGCAAAACTACTGTGTTCGTCCTGCCATCTAACATGGCTTCCGTTACGTGATGGTTCAAAACCTCTATAGATACAATCTTTGTATTATGTCCCCCACAACCGCACCAAAATGCACTGCAATGCCAACTTGACCCAGGTTTTTACTCAACTTCGGAATGTCATGGAATTTTTTTCTAGAAAACAAACTCTCTCCCCTCCTATATATGGAAAATATATTTTATCTCAATTGTGATTACAATACTGGAAATATATTTTTCTCTCTTGCTTGATCTGTTGGTTCACTTGTTATGGTCGCTCCACTGTTTTTTCCGCGCGATACCATGCAACTTCAAATCGCAAATACGCAAACGCAAACAATCCAATGCGATTTTTTTTAGGGGTTTCAAAGAAAATGATATAGATGCAATACTTTCTCACTTCTGATTGGTTGAGAGCAGTGCTGTTTCCCTGAAACACCAGTGCAAAAATGTGAAACAACAGTGCAAATATGTGCAACACATTTTAGTGATTGGTCGAAAAGACAAAATAAATTCTAACTAGCCAATCAGATCACAGCAGTTGTCATAGCAACAGAACAGCCTTCCCTCTCTGGAAGTTCTCAGAAAATTCAAGATGGCGGATTTTCATCTTAAAAATGGATTCAAAAATGCTAAAAAGTCAAGCTTCATCAATTGAAAACCAGCAAAAAAGATTAAGAATGGCAAAAGGAGGACTCGCTGCTTGTCATTTGTGAATTAAGAAGAAAAGAAAACATTAGTTGGGCCACTTTACAGTTGTTCAAGGTCACTTGACGCGAAAGTTGAAGCGAAGACGTTGAAACTTGATGTTGAAACTTCAAAATCTTTCGCTACATACTTATATATAATACTTCTGTACAAATAAAGCAGCTCATTCAACTTTCTTAGGAATTGAAAAAAAAAAAAAAGGATTTGATGATTTATGTAAGTTTTGCAGAATTTCTTCGCAATATGCTTACTTGTTTTTTCAAAAATTGTCAAATATTTGAAGTCTTGAAGATGAAAAAAATGATTTCTAAAAAAACATGTTTTTACTTTTTAAAGATCAAAAGTAATCTTTATTATTCATATTTCTTTCCTGTTTTGTAAATAAAATATTGTTTTGTAAACCAATTTTTGACAAAAACAAACGAGTTCTTCGCTTCGTACATTTTTTTCAACACGTCTTTCTCTATCTAATTTTGGTTCGAAATTTTTGTATCTATATTATTAACAAGAAATCGCATGGTATTCTCACCCTATCGAGCTCGTGCAATTTTGCTCAAAGTACATAAAATTTGAAGAAAATCTGTATGAGCATTTTCGAGAAATTTCATATTAAAGTCTTAAGTAGTGTTTAAAAAAACGACTAGGAGTGTTTTATCAGCTACAAAACCACGAGTCGTAGCCGAGTGCTTTTATACCTGATAAAACACGATCTACGAGTTTTTTGAACTGCTTATAACACTCCTGAACAATTTATAAGATTTTGGTTCAACTGGAGCAACCATGAAGAGGACTTTATCGGGTATAAAGGTCCATATGCACGTGACGTGTATGGTGGCTCCAATTGGACCATAAGCTTATTAATTATTAATGAGTGTTTTAAAGTAAAAAAGATTTGCAAAAACAAAACATGTTAGTAACTTGGTGGAAAACTCAGCATTTTCTCAGTTTTGAGTTCCTAATTTTATCTAAAGAAGTTGGTAAATCACTTTGGAATATTGGGTAAAAATTGTATAATATTATTTCAAAATATTAGGTCGACTTAACTTAGCTATGAGCCGTATTTTTGGACTATTGTGTTATGTTACATCGGCTCGTAATTTCAAATCTACTCGATGATTTTTTAAAAACAATTTATCAACACTGACTACAATATCTAGGCAACAAGATGTCAAAATTTCATTTTCATTGAATCATTTTAAAGCTTTCAAACTTTAATCTGCATCGAGAACTGTACAGGACGGCGATTCTCTTTAGCCCTTGTTTATTTGATCTTACATCGCTATTGTCCTCTTTTATCGCATTTATCCTCCAATATCTCAAAAGTAATTTAAAAACCTAGGTCACAAAATGGAGAAAATAGGCCGCAATGAAGTAAACGCGCCAACGCTTAACAGCAATCTTATATTAATTCCGATTTCAGTAAAAACATGCTCATTCGAAAATTTCATGTTTTTCTTGAAACCCCTAAAACATATTTTTAGCATTGGATTGTTTGCGTCCGCGTATTTGCGATTTGAAGTTGCATGGTATCGCGCGGATAAAACCCATTGGAGCCACCTTAAAGGGGCATTTGGATGAAAACGCCCCAAGTCCGAATAATTTAAGTGTTTGTAGTTAATTTGACTCGATTATGTTTATGTAAACCAGATTAGTGAAAATTTTCGTCTGGCAGCCACTTGCAGTTAAGACATTTTGGGTTAAAAAAGAAAAGAACAATAGGGTTGAGTAAATGACGTCATTAACTCACATTTCATATGCTAAATAAAACTGATGATTTTTATCCAACACATTTTACTGTGAAGAAAGTATGTTGCTTGGCTACTATTTGTTACTTGAACTAACTTTAAAGTCATTTCCAATTTTTATCCATTTTCATCCAAGTGCCCCTTTAATTGGTCTTCAACTACTTCCGCAATTAGCTCAACAACTATTCCCACATTATTGACCCGCGCTTAATATAGATTTATTGACTTTCTATTTGTAGGAGAGTCATTTTTGGAGATACTCAATATCACATTAACTCCACGAAAGGTGGACGATTGTTCCCAGATAGTGACCATGGAAGTGGCAATGATACTTTGTAAGTTGAAACTATTCACAGTCATTGTGAATATTATGATGAATACCCTAGGGAATTGTAATATGCAAATAGAGTATACATCAAGGGAAGCGTGGTCCCTCTCTGCTACTTCATTCAAATTGACGGGAAGATAGAGTACAGACGTCTTTCATTGGATTAGCGATCCTGCTTGCTCGCCCATTTCTTGGAAGGTCAAGAACAGGTTCCTCTTTGGTTACCGACAGGAGATGTAAGGCAGGCAGTTCTTCCTGTTGCTGATCCGGGGAGAGAAGTCCTAATGTTGGTCAAAATGCCAGGGCAGAACGCTCCACAACTTGCTCAAGAGGTTAACGATAGTAATCTTATTCATATTCATCTTGTGACCAAGTTCTGGTCTAGTTAGATTCTTGTTGAAAGGCCATCTTGTTATTTCATTCTTTTGAGTTAAAAAGTTTTTTCCGTATTGTTTAGTTTTATTAGTTTGCACTCTTAAAGTTCTGTGGTTCGCTGAGCGTTTAAATGAAGTGTTTTCATGCTCTGCGGATTGTTTAGCGTTTCAATTAAGTGTAAAATGAGCGTTTCAAAGAAATGTTCTAAAGTTCTGTAGTTTTATGGGCGTTTCATTGAAATGCATTAAATAATCGGCGTGGTAAAACTGACCGGCGGAGGGGCATTACAATAGTCATTGTCCCGTAGCCAGACGGAATGCACGAGCCGAGAATGGCAACCACCAGCTAAGAAAGGAAGGAAGGTTTAATCTAACTCTTTTATTTTAATGATGTGGATTCAATGCCAATTGCTAAATCAGTTGATTATGTTTTTATTTCGTATGTGATTACGGGATAAATGATTTTGTTTGATCATGGATATCGTCTTTCCTATTAGCATTAATTTATCTTTTAGTGTAGAAGACTCCTTTTGGCTACCCTATTCTACCCTATGAACTGTATTGTTATTAATTAGGTATGAGGCATCCACTCTGGCCTGGAACAATACCCAGGGAACCCAGAGTGTTAAGTTTTTATCCCGCTTGCTCGCGAAGGAGGCGGGTGGGTCGCCGTCTGTACTCTTCCCGTTAATTTGAATGAAGTGGCACCAGAGGGAGTACGCTTCCATTTATATATACTCTATTTGCATATTACAATTCCCTAGGGTGTTCATCATAATATTCACAATGACTGAATACTTTATACTCGAAACATTCATCGCGCAAGCCTACTCCCCCTGGACGGAAACCCCTCCCACAATTATCCACAAACACTTTTTCCTAACTTGAATAGTATACTATTCTTGGCTTTCATAAGTGACATCATCGAAAAACTAAAATCACTGTATTCACTGTTTTCACTGTTTGTCAAATATTTTGTTCATACTGTTTTTAAATTAGTACATGAAAGGTAACTTTATTGAGGATTTTCACAGCAACCATGTTGGATTCGTCATTTAATAGTTTCTTTTTGTTATATCATCCAACATGGCCGCCAAGTCTTTTCTTATTTCATTCTCTTGGAAATTTAGGCCCCGTCCACACGTATCCGTATTTTTTGCGGATACGAAAATATTCGCGTCAACACGCAGCGTATTCGAATGGTTTTCCAATCGTTTTCACTGTCCACACGTATCCGGAAATTTTTTGATCCGCCCTGATGCACGCTAGTGCCTAGTCCCTTTGATGGATAGTTCCTCTTATTGGGCATGCGCAAAATCGTGTTTACGTCAGCGTTTTCGAAAATTTGCGGATACGACCGTCCACACGTATTCGTATTCGGAGCGTATTCGAAAATTTCCACTCTGCGGACCGTTTTCGAAAATTCCCGGATACGGATACAAAAATTTCCGGATACGTGTGGACGGGGCCTTAAATTTACTACTACCAAGCTATATTTCCACAGGTTAAGTAAAATCGTGCTCAATGGATTTGTCTATAATAGAAAAACTATTTATCTCAAAGCTTTTGCTGATATGTTTAGAATATAGTGCATTAAAGCAAAAAAATTCTGTATTTTCAAACTCATACGTTGAAAATGATCCGTCTTGTTTGGAGATAACGATCTTTAGTGGCTGTGGTAAATCTCGCATACGATTAACAAAACTATAAACATTCCATACATATTTTAGGTGTTTCGATCGATTTTCGATTTAGCGATTTCGTTATTTTGACCGTAATATAACTACCATTTCTTCTGCAGCAGAAGATCTTTTGATCTTTGGATGTTTTTTAAGTGGAGAGTTGGATGGAGTCCATATAGGCCAAACAAGCATTAGCGATGCATGCCATCTGTTTGGCTTTCGATGTCCCTTGCTAAAAGGAAGTAAGTATTAAATTTCAGACTCTGAAAGACTGATTTTTATTATAATAATATGATCGTCCAAAACTCTCGATTGGGTTTGGTCTGCTACTTGATTTTTCTTTTAAAACCACTTTGAAAAAAAAAAAAAAAAAGGGGGAAAAGAAAGAAAGAAAAGAACCAATCAGCGCGCGAGAAATTTATTGTAAAAAATATTTTTGATGGTCTAATAGTATACATAAAAAAATTTACTTAATTCTGTTTGGCTGACAGCATTGTAGTTCAAATGAAATAAGAGTGGAAACATCTGTTATACCTACAGTGTAACACTCTGTAATACCAAGGCAGATTTTCAGGATTATGATTGGCTAAAGATAACAATAGAAATTGAATTAGCCAATCAGATTAAAGCAGTTGACATAGCAACAGAACAGCCTTCCTCCTCTGGAAGTTCTCAGAAAATTCAAGCCGGATAGCGCATTTATCTTAAAAATGGATTCAAAATGCTAAGAAAGTCAAGCTCCATCAGTTTAAAACCAGCAGGAAAGGTTGAGAATTGCAAAAAGAGGACTCGATGCTCGTTATTTGGAAATTAAGAAGGAAAGAAAACATCAGTTGGGCCATTTTACAGCTGTTAAAGTCACTTGATTGGCACGAAAGTTGAAGCGAGAGATGTTGATACTTCAGTGTTGAAACTTAAACAAGAGCTTTCGCCTACTTTGTCCGTAAAGAGGTAAATAATACTTCTGTACAAAGAAAGCAACTTATTCAACTTTCCTTTGAGTGTTTAGGAATTGAAAAAAAAATTGATGATTTACGAAGTTTTGCAGAATTTATTCGCGATATGTTACTTTTTGTTTTCTCAAATATTTGAAGTGTTAAAGATGAAAAATGATTTCCAAGCACGTTTTAACTTTTTAAAGATCAAAAGTAATCTTTGTTATTCTTATTACTTTCCTCAGTGTTTTGTAAATAAAATATTGTTTTGTAAACCGATTTTTGACAATAAATAAAATAATCGCAAAACAAACGAGTTATTCGGTCGTGATTTTTTTAAAACACGTCTTTTTGCTATCTAATTGGTTGAAAATATTTCATGTATACTATTAATAGTTATTAGTAAAAATACGCAGGTGATTATGAAAATCTCGCCCGCTGATTGGTCAAGAAAATCACACTATCACACGATAATCAATTCGAGCGAAAATCTAAAATGGCAGTAAGCCGCTTTGTTGCTGTTACCGGGAAAAAAATGCCTTTTATCTTCTTTTTTTTATAGAAAGAATCACCTGTGTATTTATACTAAAACAATCATTTGCCTCAGGCTCGGTGATTATTAGGGAATATTGATCTCGCCGCTCGAAGACTCGCGTCTCGGTAAATATTCCTCGATAATCACATAATTGTTAGATAATATAGTTTCTCTTACAAATTTCTCGCGCGTTGATTGGTTATTTTTTATCATCAATAAGAGGACAGAAAGATAAAGCTGACGTCAACACTACTTTGACAATGTGATGACGCAATATATCGTCAATAAGAGGACAGACACGAATTATACGAATTTTTGAGTATTTGGACGCTTTAATGCATGTATCATACATGTATTTTACCAACAAAAGCAAAACTTTCGTTATCATCGAATGGATAAATCACTTAATCCCCTATCTGCTCTTGAGATTTTACCCCTCGCTGAATGTTGCTAAAATTGCACGATTTTGTACATCATCTGGTATGAATCAATCACGAGAGAGACATGTCATTTTCTAGCCAATTATATTAAGGAATCCATTTGAGTGTTGAGCTCGCCACTTCTTGCGGAAAAAAACAGCCATGGCTCAAAAACAATTTTCTGAAGAACGATCATGAGGAGCTTAGCTTAGTTCAGGAAAGCGGCACCCCGTTGTGTTGGTACAAATTATGTCCCTACTAAAACAAAGAACTATGAAACCTGAGTATTTGAGTTGGTTAGATGTCTATTTATTTAATCCAAGATGGCGTCATAAGTAGCAACACCTTGGTGGAGTGATACTGAACCACAGATTAGATAAGATTACAATAGAAAAGTTTCCTAAATTTTGTTTACGAATTATAATTAATAAACAAAATAACGATGTATAACAATTATAAATAGTATAATAATRCCTTATGATCTTATACTGTAAACTACTAAAATGAGTCTGTTCTTGCTTCAAATATCATGAAATAGAAACTAATCAAACAGAACCGAACCGATACTATCAAAATTCGATAGCAAACCTAAATTTTCAGTAAACTTCAAATTTTTCCCTAAACAGTCAAATACACCATTAGACAGTTCTTTTCGCTCACATACAGCCTCATGTCAGTCTTTAGCGTGTGACTTATTCTTAGGCAGAATGGCAGACCGCCCCAGTTTATCGCCGAGTTCGAATTCAGGCAAAACATTGCCCCAGAACACAACAAACAAACAGGCAGAATGGCAGACCGCCCCAGCTTATTCGCCGAGTAGAGGCAAAACATTGCCCCAGA